TAAGTAAACAACGGCATCAGTTAAAGTCAAAATGAAGAAACTGACTGGGATTTGGCTGAAGAATATAAACTTGAAAAAAATACTTACTAGTAGTTAAATCAACTTTATTCTCCAAATTCAATATTCTGAAAACAAAATTGAAATGTTATAGTTTAAGAATATGATGTTTAAATAAATCACACAATTTAGGAACATTTAATTTAAAAAAGTTCAAACTGTCATTTTCAAGAATAAACATCATAATTATTCTTTAAAAACTGCTCTTCTCGGGAAATACTTAATTTTTTTTAAAATGCAAAGTTTTTGTAAAATTTCGTTTTTCCAAAAATTAGTATATCCATTCTAATTATTTCATTTGTGCTGCTGTACGCTATAGCCCATGTGGCTGATTAATTGGATACACAGGTGCGTCTAATATAGTCATTTTATTTATTTAGGGGATTCTTTTTTCTAGCACATGATACATTTTTAGATTGTGACATGTTGTATGTTTTGATATTTTTATGATAAACAAAATAAATAAATTAAATAAATAAATGTTATAAATTCATATTCAATCATAAATAAAATCATGTAATGACAACCATTTTAAACCTTCTTAAATTATTGTATTTCCAGGCCTTAGTCTTAGCAGGCTGTCTCGTGAATGCAGACCCGATTAAGAAGTGTAAAGGTGAATATGACATGGCCGGGAAAACCTTCCCGATTGTATCAGATAAAAAGTGGGTCGAATATGACGAAGTGAGTGATGTAAAAAGAGACTGCTATTGCCAAGAGTACAGAGAGATTCTTTTTGATGACTGCGGAAACCATGACTACTGCAGTACTCCTACTAAAAGATGTAAATGGAGAGGTAATATTAATTCATATATTATATAATTTCAAGTTACATTCTCCCCTTCATTGGCAGGTCAACTGTACATGTTGCTTGCAACTTTGTCATCCCCTATAGATCTGATTCTGCCTTTATACAACTTCACCAATTGATAACATGTTGTTGATCTTTTGGGAGATATTATATTTGAAATTGTAAGGAATATATTGCTTGGTCAGTTACACATGTTGCTTGCAATTTCCCTATTAGATCTGATTCTGCTTTTAAACACAACCACTCATCCTAGTGCAAATGGTAGAATTCCATCTTCTCAATGTAATTATACATATATAGGCGTAGTCAAGGGGGGTTCGATGAGTGCGATCGCACCCCCCCCCCCCCATAACCAATAGAAATAAAAGCATGAGAATGAATGCTTTTTATTTGAAGCTTCTAGCTCAATTTTGAAGCAAATTGCATCAATATTTGTAAAATTCAAAATAAATCTTATTTTGGGCTAGTTTATGCCACAATCGCACCCCCACCCCTGACTGAAAACCGAAATTTTTGGGCGATCGCACCCCCCCCCCCCCCCCCTGACTGCAAGCTGGCTACACCCCTGATATATGTTTACAATCGGGTGTTTGCAGACGACATTTTTTTCTCGTTTGTTATGTGAGCATTTGGGTGAGACAAGACAATTTCACCATCATAAAGGTTATGCTGATGTCAAATACTTTTAAGTATAAATAACGTAACTGGTGGATATTCAAAGAAAGTAAGGTAGAACAGGTTACGATATTATTACCTTTTAAATCTAATCAAACAAATACCGCGGACTGATATATGACGTCAATGTTGTGCCTTCATCTGATGCTGGCTAAATACACCAAAATTCAAAATGACCTATAGCCTATACCATCAAGAGACTATGTGATAGCATCAAGGACTAAGCATGTGGGAATTGATTGATAAACCTTCTGTAATAACATAGGATAACGATTACACATTCAAAAGAATTGTTACACATTCCAAAGAATTGTTACACATATACAAAAGAATGGTTGTTACACATTCCAAAGAAGCGTTGCATATTCCAAAGAAAAAGTTAATGTTACACGTTCGTCAAAATGATATCACATTAATTGAAATCTACATGTAAAAAATTACATCTAGAAATCTGGTTCTAAATAGTGTTTATCAACTTTGAAAAATTAATTTTTTTTTGAAAATGTGACTTCTAGGTCGGGGAGATTCCCCATTGACTCCATGTTATAAAATCACATTTCACAACAAGGAGGATTGGCTCCCAGAGTGCAACATCGATATTCTGCCCCATATATGGGTATGTCGTGCTACAAAATTTGAATTCCAACGACCGCCATTTTGTTCACTTCAACATTTGAATCGTGAATTTTGGTCTTATTTCCCAACGAAAAATTCCAAAACTCACAAGAAATGATCGAGATATTGGTTCGAATATTTTGAACTGTTTATTTTGAATTTATAATCGGTTATAATTTCAGTAAATTACGACAATTCGGCGTTTTCATTGTTGGAAAATATCGACTTCGATTCTGGGAGCCAATCCTCCTTGATTTCACAAGTAAAATCTTTTCTTGTATTGCACAGATATTTTCTTTTACAAGACATACTTTAATTTGTACCACTATCAGATACAAAAGGGGAATTTGAAAATTGAACCACTAAAACTGATGAATATTTAAGTTTCAGGGAACTTTCTAATACCCTGCCATGTTATCTGAGGTTATCTGCCCGAATTAGCCACCTAATGATGAAACTGACAACTACCTACTCGCATCTGGGTTATTGTTCTAGTATATTTGAATATTTAATTTTGCCCTTTTTAAAATCTCGGTGTTATTTTTCTAAAAGAATAACAAATATAGATCTAGAGTACTCTTGAAAATGGGATAAAATAAAAGTGAAGAAAAGTTATTTATACACTAATTATCTCTTTACTTTTCATCGTTTAATAATTTATTCACTTTTTTCATTCATCGAACTGGAAAAAAACATGTTGTATGCGTTATAATAAATATGTTATACTTAGAATAATTAAGATATACATACAGTATATCATACAGCGTTACGTAGAGACTATAAAAATATTATCAATGGTTATAGGTTGATGGATTCAAGAATGTTACTATGAGTTGATGGAGAAAACAATGAATTTCTTCAATTTTTCATAAAAGGTTTTGCGAGTATATAACTGATAAAGATTATTTAGAATTTAAAGTTCATGCCGCAGTCACATTTGATCTATGGCAACCGTACGGCTACCCTGCGTGCAGAGTCTAGTTAAACTACAAGAAGACGAAGCTCTCTTTTAAGAAGTGAGGTCAAACGAATGCAAAGGGTACCGTACGGCGGTCGTATCTTCCCAAAATTGAGAGAAATATGCAGCATTAAATATAGGGATTAGCAGTTCGATGTAGATTTTCTATATCGATTTTGTAAACCTACGGCCGCCGTACACCCGCCGTAGAGCAAATGTGACTGAGGCTTTATCAACATATTGATATGGACAGTTTATCATCAAGCTAAATGCAATGCAAATATTTTTGACGTGATTTAATCTGTGAAATAGGACGTATTTATATCTTAGTGTTTATATTGAATAAAACTGGCATGTTTGTTATGTAAGACATATTATATTGACACGATGTCTGTTTTCAGTATGACAGGGTAAACCAGGATAATGTCTTCCAGGATTCTTGAAATGTGTATTGTTCATTTTAGAGCATTTTTAGATCCCGTCTGGTGTTTGTTCTAACATACATTTTGAAGCTTTTGCCCTTTTATCCTATCATTAATATTAACTAATTACGTTGTGTGGTTCGAATGGGCCGTCTTGCGGGCATATATTTATACTTAAAAATATGATTAATCCAATGTAATATTTCATTATACATATAAAAATATGATTTATAATATGTACCAATATGTGGTATAATCAATGTACATAAAAAGTATTTTTGAAACAAAAGCATGATTGATTTGTACCTACAAATAAATGCAAATAAGATTGGTCGATAAATCGAGGATTATTGATATGACTGCGTCTGGGGCTGATTAATTAAAATGGTATTTTTGTCTCGGAATAGAATAGCAAACAAATGAAAAATGTGACACGTCTAGATATTACATAAATTGAGTTATTTGTTTGAATTCTGCCAATATTTTAATCTCAATTTAATTTCCTATCTGCGCACTGTACTGACATGTTGCTATCTTGGCAACTACTAATTCGCCATCAGCACCATTTAGTTAACGATACCACGAAGATGTTTATACTTAACATACAAGCTAAAGGAGACAAAGTCCCAAGGCCAGGTTAACCTGCTAACGATGCAAAAAGACCAGAGTGTGACGCACAATATAGTATCCTGAAGAAATAAGCTACACGGGTGTTCCAGCCTCTTCGCTATGTTACTCTTTTATCCCAAAGAGGACCGATACAAACCCAGACAGTTACATGAAATTGATTCTGCTGACAGCCCAACTCAATGTGGCCCTGGGCCAAGGAAAAAGATGTGCCCGTAAGGGAATGATAGTTATAAACCAGCCATAGTGGATCACTGTTCACTGCCTAACTCAGAAAAAAGCAAACGGATTTAGGGGAATATATAAGCACAAATGCCAAAGGGAAGGGTGACATGAAATGAAATGCTTATGCTTCTGAAATACCCAATGACGAATCGGAGCACTCACGTTTTGACACCCACGTGCACGCACTACGTGCCACGTATCCTGTTCAAATTGCAGAAATGAATATTAGATGTCCATAAGGAAAATGCAGAAAATTTACATGTGACACGTAACATTAATTTATCCTGATGCATACTTCGAAACAGGTGTTATCAACTTTTGTAATAATGGAAGATATAAAACTGATAATGCAATTTTTATATTCAAACACTTAACAAAAGGAAATTATATTAAAAGGTTGCATTTGTATCAGTTAAGAAACAATAGAAAACAAAAGATATAATTGTAGATACGAAGCTAATAGGGGAAAATATTACAAATTGCTCGCAGCTTTGACTCATTAGCAATTTAGATTTTCATACAACTTGTTATTAAGGCCCATTTATGTATACATTATACAATAAATATATTATATTTTGCCTGTAATGATTCCTTGATAAATGCTTGTATAAGATAATCGAATGGCTCTTTTACTTATTGGACTTGAACTGTAAACACATTAAGGGATTTAAAATGAAAATAGCAATAACTTCATTCAAGATATGGGTAAGTCCTTTAAAACACTTTATCTTTAATTAGAAAAATTATCTTGTACTAAATAGTTTTTGAAACAGACGATTAGAAAAGGTGATAACATTTATGGACATCGTAACTGAAGTAAAAACTGACGAGAAATGTTTCGAAATACCATTTAATACCAAGTACAAACGACACTACAGTACTCGCATAACATTTTCACATTCATGATTTCCTCATTCATAAAATGACCAACAATACACACATGTTAAACGTAGGCTACTTTATCATTGATCATAAATGCATCAAGTCAATTTTGCTCTGTAAACTTCTGCTCGAAACAGCAGCAAAAATGTGAACAAAAAAGCTCATGGGCTGGCAAAGAACGTCTTTATAAATGTGAAGTAAATCATGGCCTAATGTTACTTTACGATATACATGTAGCTGTTACTGGTCCTCATTGTGACCATGGTGGCCCTCTCTAGTCAGCAGAAGGAACCAAAGGCACAGAAGCGAATCAAAAGACGAATCAAACGGTGTTTGGGAGAGCATAATCAGGCGGGTATAACTAAGAAAATCGGAGCCACATGGACAGAGATAGAAGAAGCGAGCGGAATATCTGCAGAGTGTCGCTGCATCGAATACAAAGAATTGCTTTGGTTCAGCTGTGATGTTCCGGGCTGTAGGGACGCTACAAAGAAGTGTAAATGGCAGGGTAAGTGGAACTGCGCATGCGCTTGGTGCTCAACATCCAAAACTGAAGTTCGAGGTCGAAATTGTTCGATAGGAAAATATTTTTAGTTTTGGAGGGACGCCGGGCCGGCCAAATTCCCGGCTACCTGTTCTGCCTGACTACCTCATGTTGTGGCACGGTAAAGTTAAAAAGACTTTTCCTTGGAGCATGCCAAAGGTCAAGCATTGTCCAAATAATGTCAAATTCTGAAAATATAAGTTTTTCATTACAATATAAATAAAAATAGACATACTTTTTAGTCTCGTGTGTTTCTTAAAAACCTAGATCCTAATATCCATGTAATGCTAATGACTCCAATATCAACTCACTTGTCTACCACAATCGGTAACTTTAAATTCTGCATGATTGGTTTAGTGCGGATCTAATAAATTTTCACTTAAAGGCAGAATCAGATCTAGAAACTTTAAAAATTGTTTGCTTATCGGCGCGGTTTCATTATTTTCAATAGAATCTAGAATTAGTGACCTTGGGTGAATTGCAGGTTATATAAGAGCATGCAGTTATTTGAAATAGTGTATGTGTGAAAGTATTTTAGCAATTGAGACAAAGGAGGAGGGAAATTAGTGCAACAGATTTTGGACAGTCATATGTTTGATTTTGGCCATTTCCTGGGGATTTAAACAGGTGCATTTATTAGGCCAATGCATTATCTCCAGGAAAATCACTTCTAGAGATGACAAAATAATTTCGACTTTGAGACAGGGTAGATGCAAACAACCCACCCACATGTTTTTTCTGAAATGTTTTCCTGATTTTCAACCCCTTCCATCCCTGCTTTTTTAATTTTTCTTGCATCAATATGTTGCGTTTTGACACACAGTTAATCCCTTAAAAGGAATAAATGATTCCTTTTAGATAAAGTGGAAAACAATATATCCCATGTTATTTTCCCATAGGGAAAATCATTGCTTTCAGCTAAGTTTGGTCACCCATAATGGGTATCTTTAAAACCCCTGAAGGAATCACTTATTCCTTTAAAGTGGTTAACTATGTGTCAAAACGCAACATATTGATGCAAGAAAAATTAAAAAAGCAGGGATGGAAGGGGTCGAAAATTAGGAAAACATTTCAGAAAAAACATGTGGGTGGGTTGTTTGCATCTACCCTGTCTTAAAGTCGAAATTATTTTATCATCTCTAGAAGTCATTTTCCTGGAGGTAATGCATTGGCCTAACATATGCAATTGTTTAAATCCTCAGAAAATGGCCAAAATCCAACATATGACTGTCCAAAATCTGTTGCGCTAATTTCCCTCCTCCTTTATCTTGTACAATAGGCATTTTTATGAATGTAGCTTTCTATAAAATTAAATGAATATATACTATAAGTTATTGAATGATTTGAAGTGCAATACAGGATATATTCTGTTCGAGAAATTCCGTATTGGAACGAGACGAAGTCGAGTGCCAATACAGAATATCGAGACAGAATATATCCTGTATTGCACTTCAAATCATTCAATAACGTTTTTATCGTGTTATCCTCTGTATTGCTACTGAGATTGTCTCCTCCGTACCAATAGTTTCTGTATTGCGACGGAGATGATCAACGCGGACAATCTCAGTAGCAATACAGATTGGTACAGCACAAGAACTGACCAATCAGAGGGCTTCATTTTACAGATCATACGATAATAGCTTGTACCCATTATGGTTCGCCTTCTTGCATTATGTGTATTGGTTAGTACAGTACATGCACTCATGCTTTTAAATTTCCGATATAGCAGGATAGAGGATTTTTATTCCTTGAATAACAGTATCCATTGCAATTATTCTATATATACCATTATTGTAATACATAGTCTATAGAAAATAGAATGAAATACTTGTAAAATAATAGAAGTAATAGTGATAATAAAAAGGTATTTGGTGTGCTAAACTTGCATTATTGATTCCACTCAAAATCCCAGATCCGCTCAAATAACAAGCGAGAACATTAATTGATCGTGTCACACATTATTTCCTTGGTGATATCTCCTACTGCAACAAACTATCAAATGTTGGTCCTACTCTCTATTGATTTATATGGTGACCTAATTACAGTTATTTTCCTTATCATTTATACATAGTCGGGGCCGGTAAGGGCCGTCAAGAAAGGGGACCATAATCCCCAGGGGACAATAATTTCTTTCACACCGGGGGTCCTAAAATCCTTTTATTCTCAACGTTTGCTTTGCCATTGAACTCCATGAAGCATCATGACCATACTGAGTCAATTCATTATGATTTCCTGAATATTCATTTTACTCTTTGCAGTACAAGTTGTCAAGTTGGCAACGCATCAATTTCACTCAATTTCAATTCGTAGATGGCTGTTCCGGATTAGGTACATTCTCCCTCTGAATCTAATATTAACTTTCATTTACTAATAGTTTACTCATATTATCAGATATTATTTCACCTGGTGTATATTTGTCTGTTTTTGGTTGAATATACAAGAGGTGTGAGTGAATAGAACAGCCAACTTGAAGGCAACTTTAGATTTGAATTTTATGTAATCTACATATGACCTTGGATGGGTTGTTGGCTATGGGCTTTGTATAAAAGACCTCCTACCTCATACCCACCTACCCACCCACCTACGTGGAACCTGATACAATCATTGAAGGGTTCAATTTCAAAGGTTATTAAATCTCAAAATAGCTCAAATTATTAACATTTCTACAATCCTGGCTTTACTTTATGACTAGACAGATGACAGATCCATAAATAAAGGCATATGGATGCATTTTAATATGTTATGACGACCGCGAGCATAGGTCCAACAAGCCAGACAAAGAAATTGAAAGAAATTAGAAAGTGTGCTAAATTCGATGCTCCGAGTGGGAATCGAACCCAGCTGGGATGTAGTAGCAAGGGTCGTTACAAATGTATAATTCATCATACTAAGATCTTTAAAATTGAACCTTTCAACGACTGTATTATGTCCCACGTACGTGGGTAGGAGGGTATGAGGTAGGAGGTTCTTTATACAAAACTCTATATAATGTAATGCGGCTATATGAAAAGTGTGTTCTTGTTGGCTAAGGCTTGAATTTGACACACCCTGCCTAGCTATGTGTGATTGAAACATAATGTTAAATGTTCAAAACATCTACATGTACACTGTGGCAGCTACGTAAATGTTATGATTTCGACAATTACCTTCTAACTTCACCGCACGGAAAAGGTAAAAAAGACTTGACCCAAGTGTTAATCACATTTTTTTCTTTTTTAAGGTTGCGTAACGGAGGTGGGAGGAGAATACGAGCCCTATTATCCTTTGGATTCCAATGTTGTCAAGCCTAAGTTCGAGATTATAACCTACCCCCACAGATGCTTATGTAAATGTCTCAATTCATCTGAGGCCAGTCAAAGCAGCTACATAGCCGATGCACCACAAGACCCGTTCGTCTGGGACTGCGATTGCGACCAGAATTGGTATTACTATGATGAGCCTATAGAAGAAGACAAACAGAATCAGAATGAGATTGAGGAAAGGAAGCGAAGGAAAAGAAGCACAAATGTGTAAAATGACTTATAATAAGATTTGATAAAATACGTTTTATATGCATAGATAACATTGAAACATGGGTTCATTTTGTTGTTGATCCTTGTGCTTTCCTTAATTTTCCCCTTTCTATCCCGATCTGTCTTCTCCCGCCCAAAGGGATTACTTCAGTTAGACTTGCACTTCATTTACAAGGTGATACATATTACCTAATTCTGGTGCCAATGTAATGGCCATGACATAACAAGGAAGACTTGAAGGTCGAAGGTCACTAGAACGTAATAATATTATATTTACAAAATTGATTTTGAGGCAAATTTTTGTAAGGGTCAGCTCTATCGAGGATACGGTCAAGGTCAACTGAAAGCTTAACTATCGAAAACAGGTATGCAAATGATTGCTTTAATTAAGGAATAAAGACCGAGATTTTATGATTTATGGCGTAATATATGACCGAAAATTTTATTCTGTTCATTGTTAAAAGACCGAAATCGCGTAGCGATTGAGGTCTTTGGCAATGGCCAGAATAAATTTTGAGGTCATATATTGACATAAATCATAAAATCGAGGTTTTTGTTACGATTCTAATAAGATAAACAGACAAGAAACACGATTTTTTGCATTTATGAATTTTATTGGTCAAACATACTCCAATATAGACCAGTAAATCAATTGTTCTAGCCAGTATGACGTCACGTATCATATTAGAATTTGTTTTAAGGATCGTTGAATTCATCGGGGTCATTAAAGATTTGGGTCATACGTTTTGATGAGAAAGAACTAAAGATCAAAACAAATTTGTTGGTATTTGGTATTTTTAAAAATCATTTTAAGATGAAGAATGGGTAATGTCAAATATAAGACAGTGTCTAATGACGATCAAATGACGTCATTAAACAGGATGGGTCAAAAACATCCATAATGTTTGATGCTTTATTATATGGTAAATTCTCGTACAGCCCATGACTTTCAAAATTGTTTTTTGAAGATATATGGGTCAATTATGCAGTTGTTCCTAATTCCATTTATAACAAACACTATTGCATAATTTACTCCTGTATCTTCAACAAATATATTTCATATATCTTGGATCATTCTGAAAATATCTAATCTATAAAACATGAGTACTGGGTATTAGGTGAAATGATTAGAGCCAGTACAAATGGTTTATATCATTTAAAACCCACACTGACTCTTATGAAAGGTAAACAGTCCATGGTCCATTTAAACTTACACTGTACTTTTTTAATGTAAAAATTGATTTCTAAATGCATTGATTATTCAATAATTTTACTAATCGCATGATCTGTAAAATGAAGCTTTCTGATTGGTCAGTTCTTTTGCTATACCAATCCGTATTGCTATTGAGAATGTCTCCATTGATCATCTCCGTCGCAATACAGAAAATATTGGTACGAAGGGGACATTCTCAGTAGCAATACAGAGTCACACGATCAAAACGTTATCGAATGATATGATTTGAAGTGCAAAACAGGATATATTTTGCTTTCGATATTCTCCACTTCGTCTCGTTCCAATACGGAATTTCTCGAGCAGAATATATCTTTTCTCCGAAATAAACTACAGTTCATTCTATTGTGTTGCTACCAAATTGGGATCAAGAACGTTTTAATGACCTACCCTGTATATTTGTTAATATATAATTGGACTTGGTCTGTATTTGATGAAACTATACCTTTTCGATTGAATCAATGTAATTTGATAAAGGTCAAGGTCACAAACTGTTTAAAAGGTCATGAAAAGAGTTAAGAATCAAGAACTGCAATGAGCTCAAAGTGCGCGTCATATATTATGTAACATCATCTATTACTATAGTACTCGCTGTGTTGCATTACGATTTATCAGCTAGAAGAGTCCTCTTTATATAACTTACCGATCTCAAAGGATAATAGAGAATGTGGATGTCGTACAATGAGCTCATCGTATACTTTAGCTTTACTACGTCATTGTACAATAAGTTTGTAAGCTGAAGAGTAGCAAAACATAATCTTAAACGCAATTGTGCAATGAACTTATTTATAATGTAAGTCTAACACTGTGTGCTCAGGGAGCTCAGGTGGTTTGTGAATATTCAATGGACTGAATATCAATTTCAACAAATATAAAACGAACAAACTTTTACAAATATGTTTGTGTCAAATAAATAAACGATTGATAGGATATGAAAAATAAAGATCTGTGTTGTGTTCTTTTGTTTCCAGAACTACACCGTTGCTCATATTTTCGGCATATTTGTTAACTAACCATTTATTTTAACAGGTTTTACTCTGCTCTGAACTTTTGGTGAAAATAATGTTGTCAGATATTTTTACGAATTCGTTTAACAATTTCGGAACTTTCAATCTGTTTGATTATCACAATTTAATCCACGAGAATGCTTTGAAGTTTTCTATATTCTCAGGATTTGCTCGGGTTATGTTATTTTTCTGTAATACATTTCTCAAAGCATATGTTTTACGGTAAATATCGTGTTTTTCGACAACTAGTATACGTGTTTCAAAACAAATTATGAGCAACGGTCAACGAATGAGTGTACCCTTGCGATAGTAAGGGATAAAATCACTGACTAGTGAGTGAGTGATCACACTGGTGATCCACTCGATTACGCTAGTTACCGAAACAGTTCGATTCTGTAACAAAATGTCGGAACGCATCGAAGCTACGATTTTCTTTTTTCCATATTTCACACCTTCTAGACAGAGTTCTCACGACATTTTCGACACAAACGTGTATCAGTAACATATGATCAAGAAAATGTACACATTCGCGAACAAATAGTTCAGAAGACAACAGAATCGTCGATTTAATTCCTCACTTAAGTTACAGAAACGGTATTTCGAAAAACAGTTAAGATCTGCACTTTTAACCCAAACCGTTTCTGTAACTTAAGTGAGGAATTAAATCGACGATTCTGTTGTCTTCTGAGCTATTTTTTCGCAAACATGTACATTTTCTAAAACATATGATCCTGATACACGTTTGTGAGAAAAAACGTCATGGGGATTCTGCCTACAACGCGTGAAATAGGGAAACAAGAAAATCAAGTGAAAATGACACTAGAAAAATACGAAGGCCATAATGCTATTTTGACAAAACTGATCCACTTTTTATGAAAATACCACAGATAAAGACAATGAACAAACTACATGTAACTGCTTGTTTTCTGTTGGTTAGGTAACATATTAATGACGTCACAAATTAAAATATAATAAACACTGTGATGTGTGCCGTTTAGCTTTCTTGTCTGTTTAGTTGATAGGGCAATAAGTAACTGACGTCATAGTTTATGTTATATTACGTCATATCTTCATCACAAACACAACATATGACGTCGTGATCGTTGCTTTGATGATTTGCCATATAAGGTAATAATGGCGGACTTTTGGTCACGTGAATGGTCGACAGTCGGTCCATAGAACGAATGGCTCCGCCCACTTCGTGGGGGGCCTTCGTAAAAAAGAAAAATCGTACATTCGACGTTCCGACATTTTGTTACCCGTTTCGGTAACCAGCGTAATCGAGCGGATCACCAGTGGATCATAAACCAAAATTGAAACAGAAAAACAGGTTACTCCAGCGGGTTATCTCCACTATCGATTGATTTTATTACAGACCTTTTTTGCAATGTTGAAGTTTGAAAATTGCGTTCATAGTCACACACTATCCTACCCCTATACTGTAGTCTTTTTTTAAAAGGAATACAGGCTATACAGTGAAGTTACAAAAGGAGAACGTTCGTGTATTTCCATATTTCTGAATTCGAAGGAATACTTGATTTTACATATATTCCAAGTGTTCAACTATATATTGTATAGATTTAACTGAGCAGTTTGCATTTTATTATTACCAGAAAAGCCCTATCGACAACAATAAAGAATACCCGCTCCATTTGCATCTTCACTGTAGCATGAATCCCTTTTAAAGAAATACAGGTTGCAGTATGGTAATGTGAGGTGATTGCCTGGCGTCGTCACATCCCAATTGAAAAATAAAACTAATTACCAACTAATTTACAACTAATTATCAACAATTCTGCTGGCAATTGGAATTAAAGTTAAGCGTTAATTAAATCAATGATAATTATGGCCTAATTATCAGTAGCAAGTTCAACGTAAATTAACTTACAATAATGCTGATTTGTGATTTTTAGTTGATAATTAAGATATGAAATGTTTGAGGGTGATAGTAAGTGGTAAATTAAAACGTTTTTGTTCTGAAGTAGATTATTGGTTGATAGTTAACATATAGGATGATTATAATGATAATTAGTCGTAAATTAGGCCCATGATTTAGAAATACAAAGCCCCTAAATTTAATTTCAAGATGGTGGAAAAAGAAAACATGTGAGAGATATTTCTCTCATAAAATTTAGAATTACAACGTGAATGGTGCGTATACTACCATGAAATTTGGTCAACATTATTATAAGGGTATGTATAACATGAATACAATGTATGTTAAATCTTATTCACACTTCTGTCTGAAATGTTTATGAATTTGAAAATCTTTTTGAATCAGATCATATAATATTAATCCTAGAATGCAATTTAGGTACTAACATGGGTTACATGTACCTATATTTCACAAGTAATCCAAATGTGCTCTTCTAAATAATGATTGTTAGATCAAAGACATTTCAAAACATATTTTTGATTATATCTGTTACGTCCTTATTATGTAACATTATAGTCTAATGTTTGTGTTCTGATTTTAGTTGTTGATGGCAATAATGATGTTTTCACATGCTTTTCATGAATCTTAAAAATTTGCAAAATAGAATAGCTTTAAAAAAGAGGGGGAGAAACCCCAGGGTTCAAAGATGACATACGCTTATAATGTAAATCTGTATTGAGATGACATCGTCGCTGATTGGTTTAGCGAGTCGATCGTTGATTAAAACTAGGTCAATTTGAAAACTTTGAAAACCAAGATGGAGGGTACGTTTTCGACAAAAGGAGGTGTGCGAAGGAGGAAATCGTATGTCATCAATTGAATCATGGGGTTTTCCCTCCCCTTGCTGTGAAATTTCAATAGTTCAAGTTCAATGTTGTCTGTTCTGAAAGATCCTAATTAAGATGAATATTCCGTCACAAAATAGTTCAAGATGAAGCAAAAATCTCCGAGTGAAGGGAAACAAAAAAGAAGCAAGTCATTTTTGAGAAGTCACAAATCTGACTTACACCTAACTTTCAACTAATTATCAATAGTAAATTAGGTGATAATTAGAGATTAACTTACATCAAACTTACAACTAATTTACAACTAATTTACGTAAATCAGTGACAATCGACCAATATATAGCTCATTTGCATATTGATGGTAGTTAATCGTTAATTAAGTTGCAAATTAAGCGTTAATTAAGTTGATAATTAGCTCATTTGCATGTGAATTTTTACACCTAACTTTCAACTAATTATCAATAGTAAGTTAGGTGATAATTGGAGATGATTTTCCATAGGCTTTTTTCAATTGGGATTTTCTTCGATTTCAGATGAATATTTCGTTCAAAATTGCATTGATTTCTGAACAAAATAGTTATCGGCCGGTGTGCGAGTCGGTATCGAAGATCAGAGCAAATGTGACCACGGCATTACAGATGTACACATGCAAATGTCATATGTTGCTAATTAGTGAGCATTCTGATACCCATCGCATCTTTCTATTTCACCTGAAACATCTGAGAAGAAATCATCCTTGGTCCAAGGGTATTTCACTTTTTTGAATTGAGTAATAAATGAAGTCCTTTGAATGAAGGATGAGAAGAAATGACATGTCTTGGTTTATCATAATGATTAGTGATCAATTTTCTGTAATACGACATTCATCCAAAAATTATATAAAATGATAGTTATCTCGACCTGACTCATATACAGGGAAAAGCAACTCATCAAAGTACTTTTCCAAAAATGTGGTTCTAATTTTCACCAAAAGATAACCTCATCTTATAATGTTTCAAACAGAACCTCGATATTCGATCGCAACCCTGACCTTGATCGATATCAACATTGAAAATGTCAGTATTTTCTGACATTAGGCTTATAACTAACTATATATTCATATTCTGCGATCCAAAATATTTGAACGAATATCTTAATCACTCCTTGGGTGTTTTGAATTAGTTTGTCAGGAAATAAGACCAAAACTCGCAATTCAAAATCACGAAGTGAAAAATTGGCCAGTGGCGGATCAGGGGGGGGCTAGGGGGCTCAAATTCCCCCCCCCCCCCCTCTTGTTAATTTGTGGATCCGCCACTGTTGGCGGCTGTTTGAGTTTGAATGTCGTACATGGCAGAATATGAGTTGGAAGCCTGGGAACTAATCCTCCTCGGTATATATTCTAAGACTGAGATAATGGATGGATCTTGAGAAAGAGGCTGGTG